ATATATATATATAAAAAAAAAAATAACAACAATAATAATAAGTTTAAGAAAAAATGACTGCGCATTCGCGAGTTTCTCAACCAACAGGTGCGAACGCTCGGGGATTTATAATAATAATAATTAAAACAAAAACAAAAAACAGATTTATGTTAATTATATATTATTAAATAGTACATAGAAAAAATTGAAAATACCGGGAACTTTTATTACACGTATCGGGTTTAAAAAACAATTTAATAATTATAATTATTATTATATTGTACACCCGTTAACAATTAATGTACTATTTTTTAGAATAACAACTAATTTAACAACTATACATATTGATTTACGTCCTGCTAGAACATGATTTTTTATCGTTCGCATTTCCTCGGGGGTATCATTGCGAGTATATTATTTTATTATAACTTGCGTTGTTCGTATATTTTTATTTATTTGTTTTTTTTTTTTTTTTTATATAGAAATAACGGCATTTGTGAGTGTAGCACAAAATTGTTTTAACGTGGTATATTATGAACAAAACAGCCGCCCGGGAAGCGATTTTCTCCGCGAAAATGGGTGACACTTTTTTTTTTCAATTTAATAACACCCGTATATGAAAATAATAGTTTTTTTTTACCCGCTTTCATTGACACGCAATGCGCCGAGGTGGCCTTTCACACGGCGATCGTATTTATTGGGACACTCTGATAAAATCAGCCCATTCCCCGGACAATATTATTAGTAATATAATTATAGTATGTACTTGTAATCGATAGCACTTAATCGGCTATTTTAGAACACACGTACCGTGTAAATAATTATAATTAAACAAAGATTTATCGATTCAACCTACATATTTGTTCGATAAAAATTCACTACAAACACAAACAAATACAAATACGACGAGAAAAATGAACACCCGTAACAAAACGCGCTGCAAAGGTCATCAATAATATACTTTAAACATTTTCGCGATCAGAATATTATCTGCCGTATATTAGGCGTATACAATTTACATATTATAATATACAAGTAGTGTCAGTGGAGTATATTCAATCTCGCTCAGGGGAAATTTGGGATATTTTTTTTCCTAACAATCAAACGCAAATATAGGTACTAATTAATTAATAAAACAAATAAAAAACTTTCCAAAGTTCGAGGCAATTAATTATTATTATTATATTATTAACACTATTTAGGAAAACATTTTTAACAAAAATGCCAGCCTTAGATTTTGAGCGAAGCAAAGAATGTATTTGTTTTACAATATTGTTTTTTTTTCTTTTGTTACTGTGTGCAAACTTTTTACCAAAAATCTTGCTCTGATACATCAAGTATAGCAGTTTTTTTTAAAGGAAATTTTATCTAGTTGATACTTTAAGGAGGCCATTTTTTTCATTTTCTAATCGGTTTTCATAATAATTGTGAAAAACTGGGAAAAAAATGTAGAAAAAACGGAAAAATATACGAAAATAAATATTTTAAATTATTTTTAACTTTTTGTTTTGTTGTAATTCATTTCAAAATATTCTTAAAGACTTTAAATTTGTTGAAAATAATTGAGCAGAATAAAAATAAAAATGCAGAAAGTACGAAAATAATTTTTTTAATATTTTGTTTTTTAATGTAATTTAGTTTCATATATTCATAAAAACTTGAAATTTTGACAGAAAACTCATATTTGCCTTTTCTAGACGTGGTCAAATTTTAAAAACATTTGAGCAATTTTTGAGCTATTTAAAGACATTTAAATTTTGAAAAATTGTACGTAATTTGTATTCGGTAGGTAATCTATAAATAAAATTAGACCCAATAGAAATGCTTGAAAATTTAACAGGAGGTTCATTATAAGTTTTTCTTTGTGGTCAACAAGAAAACGTTGAGTTTAACGTAGTGTATTTTTTTTTATATACGAATTTTAGTATCAAATTTTGATGAAAATACATACTGTACACCGAATATTACTGCGGTTATATACAACCGAACTCCGCTCAAAATTGTTTTTCATTAGCAAATACCTAATGTGTACAGATGTACATAGTGTGATAATTTTTGTTAATTGACAGCATAGCCACCATTATCCAGCAATCTTATTTTCTTCATCGTTGATAAAATATACTGTATATTTGTGAATCGTGCACACCCGGATATTAATAACTTATTGTTATTTTGATATCTTGTTGAACAGTAAAATAGCTAAAATGATTGTAAATTTGTAATTTTACAATCATAATATGTGTGAATTTGTCTATTTGAGTATTCAACAGTTAACAAAACTGTAAAAAACATTAAACATGTATTAATTAAAATATAATTATTTATTATATATATTTAGTTCAAGTTCTGAGTACTCCAGAGAGTAACATTGTAACAATTAAACAATAAATACATATAACATAATACTTATTCACATTTATTTTATTTTTGGTTTTGCTCTAGATGGGGTTTTGAACCTAACCTCCTATCCCCTATAATTATGCCATTGGGTAGTATACTAGTATTTATTATTTGTATAGTTTAGCTCTTCTATCTCTCTCTCTGTAAATTGTCATTTTTTGTTTTTCATTTACAACTCAAAGGTCAACTCGACACTTACGAATACGAAATCCATCGCGAATTATAAAATCGTACTGATAACATATGATAATCATTTAAACATATAATCATGATATTAAAATTCACGATTACTGTAAAACCTCAAATTCGCATTACGAAATTTCGATTTGTATACACAGAATTCTCGCGTTTAAATTTAATCTATTTTTTCTTTTTATCAAATTCTACAGATTTCCAGCCATGTGTCCTGTCAGATTTATTATTCGTTTGGTATATCAGTTGTCCGTGGGTATTTCTCGAGTGGTTTTTTAATGAAAAAAAAAAACCGATAACCTAATTAAAATCGTACAATAAAACTATTTTACATCTGTTGAATCGAACGTAATGTGTGTGTTACCCAATGGCCCGGTACAGTTTTTTATACTTAACAAATGACAAATATTTTCCTCGCATAACGAATTATTCAGTATATTACAGCAATTATTGAACGGATCGATGATGAGGGTTCTCGAGTACTTGACCAATAATATTTTGTTATACAAATAAATATTACATACGAGTAAGGATTATAAAACACGTATTATTCAATAATACTGAAAGTGAACAAACATAAATAATTTTACGCCATTTCACGATGGAAATTGTTCTTCGATATTACCCAACTTACAGTGTATAATAATTAAGTACAGAACTGTAATATGATAATAATATAATTAAGGTGTTCACGTGTTGTACAAACTACAACTAATGTATAATAGTTTTTAATTCTTGAGTAATGTTTCGAAATTACTTAGTTGATATTAGGTAAGTACTACTGTTAAACTCGGTTTTATGTAATTTTTTCGCACCTTTTTAACAATTTACCTATACCGCGTTATTTAATAATAATAATGAAAACCGCAGACGTATTTTATCAAAGGGCGTACCGAGACTTGATTAAATACCGTTTATAGGTTTTAATTTCACGTCGATTATTTTGTTCAAAAGCGTTGTTCTATTAAATGCACATTAATGCACATGCTCCAATGCACATTAATAATAATTATAATAAAAAAAGCTCTCTAATTTAAATGAAAATAAATAACTAACTCAATTTTACGTGTTGTGATTTCAGATTTGTGACTAGTGTGCAATATTACCTACTCGCTGATATATTGAAGTTTAAACTCGTTCCTGAGATTGTGTTCCGATAAAGTGATATTTCAGCCTACTGCACAAAAATCCCTTTGTACAGCATCGTTCAACCTGTGTTTATTAATATTACAAATAGCGATTGGTACGTACACCTACCTGTTATTACTATGTTAATAATTTTTGAATTGTTATTTTTGTTCAAATACTCATTGTATTCTATGTATAAGAGGTATATACAATTATTTTATTGATTATAAATAGCTTGCGCTAGTTACACTTATATACCGTCTCATCGAACAATCAAACGAGCCGATCGAGATCACCTTATCACGAGAAAATATAATAATATTATTAAACTCTTCAATTAACCAATATAATGATGTATTTTCGTCTGTTCGGTAAACCACTTTTACTCACGTGATATACACTACATAAAGGCTACGCGAACGGTCAAATGTACATTTTTTTTTTATATACACATAGGCAATTTTCATATTATTATATTAGTTTAATTAAAGTTGATTATTTTTCTCGTTTACATTGGTTTTTAGTGAAGCTTTTTGTTTAAGCTATAGAGTCAAGTAAACATTTTTCAATTATGTATGAAGCAAAAAATCTATTGGTTTTATTATGTGTTTTTTTTTCTGTCTGTACACAATTTATCCACTATTAATTTCCCTCCAATCGTCAATTTCGGATTTTTAGCGAACTAAAATGTTTCCTGTTGATGCATTTGGTGATGGGAGTGGGTAATATTTTGATTATCCTTTTACTGATCCTGGTAGTTTAAATCAAGGAAAACCGATAAACATCGGTTAAATGCTTAACGCTCAGAATCGTTTTTCGTTTGCAATGTGTCATCTCTATGTAACGATAATTTTTTTTGGCCCCGTCAAGTGTTATGTCTCTATATAGAAAACCTCTAAAGGACGATCACCTCTAAATAGCGGTCATTATTTCCGGTCCCTTCGGTGACCGTTATTTGAAAGTTTAACTGTACAATACTACATTACATAAATCAAATGGCTCGTTGGCAATTGATCATTGCATGTGTGCAGTAACCGTATTCTTTTCTTTGTATTATTATTATTATTTTTGTCTATATAAATGAAAAGAAAAATTATTGAAATTGCTTTTAAAATAATCTGAGAATCAATTTGAATGCACTGGTAGGTTACAACAATTTTTTTCAACAATATTTTATTTTTACAGATAAAATGATTTTATTTCATGAAAATAATAACATAAAACAAATTTCTTCAAGGATAATTAATTTAGGTGATGATTTATCAACATGTCAATTTTTACATATCGTGGCTAATAACTTTGTCGATATTGATTTTCTCCTTATCAATTATAAGATCTCTTTTCTTCCTCGTTATATTCGCAGATGATCTGCTATCGTGCCATTTTTTGTTCAGCAATAATTTAAACCGTTAAAAAAAATAAAATACATAACAAAATTTCGTTATTCACCTATAAAATACGGTTCCCTTACGCGATCACTTTTTTTTTTTGGGGGGGGGGGCGGGATATAAATTTTGATGGTATTGGACATTGGAACACCTGTATAAATAAAATATGAAGATAAGCCCGAAAAAAAAATTTTTTTTTGATCCACTCTATATTCAATATAGGGTGGATATAATATTGTATATTATATAGCTTCAAAATTATGATAAAAATATTATATTGCCGTACTACCACACTAGCATCGGCCGCAACAGTTCGTATGACGGAAGTCGAATTTATTTCGAGTCGTTCGGCCGGAGTTTTTGCAAATACAATCGAGCGATCGAAATGTTATTTTTAATGCAACGATGATCGGAGTCGTTTTCCGCGGAGTGACCTTATAAACACGCGCGCACCTATATAAACACGGACTGCAAATACGATTATTCGCGAGCGTTTAATTTATGCAAATCACGATTTCGTACGGCCATTAAGTTTTATCCGAATTATTCGATCTATATTATTATCCTCATCGTTATACATACGACTGCATAATAAGTATCCGTACTTACTACTTAATGTGATATTACATAGCTGCTATACATGCATATCGAAACACAGTTGAAAATCGGGCAGTCATGTGTTGAACACGAAAAGTTTTTGTTTTTTGTTCGGTTCAGTGAAACTTTTACGACACCATCAATATTTTGAATGCTGCAGTTTCATCACATAGGATGTGTTAATACAATTTTAGCCTGTTCTGTTTCACATAGGAAAAATATAAGTATACATTTTTGTATGTAACGCACGTACTTAAGTAGTTTCATTTTAAACTGCAAATTTTCAAAAAAGAAATATAAATAAAAAAATTGACTAACAAAGTACCGAACGATCGTCGGAATAAATGCATTTTTAAATAAAGGAACGAATTTTGCGTTTTAAAAGAGAAATGTAACTCGTAATCAAAACAAACGATTGATATCAATAATTATATAATAATCGTATAACGAATTGACGTACGTCATTGATGCAGGTCACAACCATGTATAGGATTTTTTTTTCCGACCGGTTCTTATATGACGTTTGAGATCTTTTTTGTTTTTACTGTGTAACAAATTGTTTTTGCAGCTATTTCTGTATTTAGACTTTAAAGTTTATTTTTAATTCAGAGTGTAGCTAGGAATGTATTGAATTTAAAATGTTGTTTATTGTTATTATTATTTTTATACTGTGAACACAGTTTCTACCAGAAATTTTGTTCCGATATATGAAGTGTACCCTGGTACCTTTTCTGAAAGAAAATTGTATTTTGTTGGTACTTTAAGGAGGTAATTTTTTGATTTTCTAAAAGGGTTTTCTGAATAATTTGTAAAAAACAAGGGGAAAACATAGGAATAAACGATAACATAATAATGATTGTGACAATTAATAATGGCGTAACGATTTTATGATTTTACATTTTTTTTACATTTATATTGTATTGGTTTTACAATGATGTTTATTATTGTTATTTTTTTTTTATCTGTGAACAAATTATCTACCAGCAATTTTGTTCCGATTTACAATAATAGCACTTTTTTTCAAAGGAACTCTGACGTGGTTGGTACTTGAGAAGTCATTTTTTAATTTTTCCAATTGTTTTCAAAATAAATGGGAAAAACTGAGAAAAAAACATGGGGAAATCGGGAAAAAACGTAGGAAAAATGGAAAAATAGGTACAATATCAAATAGATATATAATAAAGAAAATATATAACGCCTATTTAATTATTTTACCGTAATATGACATATATATTGTTGACAAAGCAATACTATTAAATGAACGCCACTCAGAATCATTTTTCGTTAGCTATGGTTAATCATTGCGTTGTCTACATTACATTTCTCATCTACCTTCCCTACTTCTCACCTACAACAGTGGCCCACCTACGTGCGAAGTATATCCGTTTTTTTTTGTAACTTATGTATGTTGTCTACTGGATATATCGCTGCAATAGAAAAACAACAAGCAACGCTTTTTGTTGAATTTTTAACCTAAGTGGTAACCAAGAAAGTTATTTTTGATTTTTCTTGTTGTGTGAACTTTGAGAAACAACCTTTTTAAAAGGTAAAGTAATATATCGACGACAGGACTGACTTGGAAAATGTAGAGGCCCTGTGCAATTATTTTTCCGGGGCCTGAATAAGATTCTTTTTAATTTTTTACGCTTAATACACTTAATATATGATTGGATCTATAAATAATTCCGTACTTTTGTTAACGTGATGGAAATTTAATAATTGCCAGATTCGAGATTTATGAAACAACGAGTTAATACACGTGTCAATATTATATAATTGACTCTTTAGTGAGTCTATTTGAAGGGATCAGCGCAATAACAAGACAAGTCCAATTTTCTAAATTGTGTAGCAGAAAGAAAAAAACCATAGATGTATCTAGGGGACTTGCTATCTTTTTAGATCCGTGAATTTGGTCGAATCGGAAACAAGTCCACATAACTGCTTTTTTTTCTCAGTATCTATATAATAGACAAACTTGCATTATAGTCGCAACAAATTATCTGACATTAATTGCTTTATAACTAACAAAGTATCATTTTCGATTCTCGTTTCGTGGTTGCACATGAGCCGTTCAGTTTACTAAATTCCCATCGGTTTTCACGAGTTCCCCTCCCCTTTAATTTTCGAGTTGATGAATAATATATTATATATATGTACATTTTATTTCACTTTTGAATCGACATATTATTATAGAACACATTATCGTCTAACATCAAGGACAGCGGACATTGTACACGACATTCGTGGCCGTGAGAATCGCATTTAGCGGCGGACACGGACTTTGCATGGCGATTGATTTCGATATGGCAACCTGAATACTATATACGTACTCTCAGTTTCGTTCAAAGATGAATTTCAGTACTTCCACTGACACATGTGGAGAAATGCATTTTATTTTTTTAGAGTAAATAATATAATATTTTATTATTACTATCTAGTATCTCTATACTTAATTTCGAGATTGAACAAATTGAAATTAAAATAAGTCATTCAATTGGCTTTGAAAAAAAATTCATTCACCCTCTGGATTTATGAATATACATTTTTATGAATACTGTCAACATTGCCAGTATTGCCAGTTGCTCCAAACGCGATTGTTGCAATGTCGTGTCATAATATTATATATTATATTATTTATGATCTAAGATTTTGTTGCGAACAATAAGAGATAACAAAGAATAATCTAATTTTTTCGTAGGGACAATTGCTTTAGTTTCTTTTTCAAAATTATAGAAGTACTACAAAAAAAGAAAATAGCTCATTGGAGGGGGGGTATCAGAAACCCAGATTCCCTCCCCCCTGCAGACGGTGATTACGCTACTGGTACCGTTCGGTGAATCGCATTGTGTGACAGAAACTCTGAAACTTTGAAAACCAGCGGCAACCGACTTTTACGATGCAGGTTTTTAGCACAGTACGGTTGCAGGGATTCGCGGTAGACAATACGATTATTTTATCGTCCCGAATTTGCACGTTTTTTGATTGTTATCGCCGCGTGAAATGTGTATATTTACCACGCGGACGGCGGCGGACGAAAATAGACCGTTTGTTTTTAGACATGGAAATAGTTTTGGACGAGTTCCAGAAACGCTTCTTTATATTCTTTCGGATGACGGAATAACGCCTTTCGTTTGAGTAACCTAATGTAGTTGTAAATAAAGTCCTGCAAAACGCTCGTGGATTACATTATGTCGAACGTTTATTGTGGTATTTTAAAAGGTTTTTAAACCGAATAATGGCCGTAAACACGATCTTATTTATTTTTTATTTTACCTATTTCTTTTGACAAATATTTTATTTATCGGGTTTTTTTCGTTTTCACCGCACCACAGTCAACAGTTATATTATTGTGTATATAGTATACGCAATACGCGCGCCCGTAACCTTTCCCTTTACCGAATGGCGAAATCGGTCATATATACATAATATATATACGTATATAATCAGTTTAAAACTGTTTAATTTATATGTAGCACAACGGTTACTCGTATACGAGCGCGTAATTTGTATTTATTTATTTTTTTTATTGATACACGCCCACGAATAAACCACCGAGTCGTAGTAGCGTATGTTCTCGTCAAGAGGTGCCGCTGGGGTGGGGTGGGGGGTTGCTAAATGACTAAGTCGTACAGAATACCGTATCACTTAGAAATATAACATTTCGAACTTCAGCGGGTTTTCATACGACCGACACCAGTTGAATTTTGGACATGTTTTTCTTTCTCATTTCTAGTTTCTTTCGATTACACGGATGAAAATGAAAAACCCAATGATTATTTAAAATTATTTGATCGTCACGTGCGTGGAGTTGTTGGCCAATAAAAAATACTAGACGGAAAAATGCCGGAAATAACAAATCACCACATAATTCCGAGGAATTTGTTGGAAAAAGTTGCGAACAGCGTACTTATATTTTGTTCTTCCGGATTTGATACGATTTATCGCGGTGTGAATATTGGCAATGGGTGTATAAAAAATCTACTGTAAATATCGCTCTGTTCCAAATACCACGTCGTGCTTCGGGATATTTTTAATTATTTTATAGACATACCTACATGGACAATAAAGTACAATATATAGTGATTTTTTTTTAAATAGGTTTCGCTTATTATTTCGTTCAAACCGAACGCGGTATTAAATGTTCGTAGACGGGAAACGGCACGTTTTATTATTGTAGCGGTTCAACTACCTCTGTGGGGTTAACCTAATTTTTATTTCCATACATATTATATGTACAATTACAATCTCAACCCCCGCAAACGAATTATAGAAAAACGTATATGTTTATACGATTTTGGTAAATTAAGGTGTTGGCGAATCGTTCAGACTGGTTTTGAAAGCATGATGGTATTTTGCGATTATGTACGCGGTATAATTTAAAAACACCCGTGAGCCGTGTAGATCAGTTATTTAAAGTCGAATTTTCTCGAAAATTTCTATTTAAGGTACTTTTTAGAAAATTTCAGCAGTTAATCCCCTGATCATTTTTTAGCTGTTTGGTTTTCGTTTATTTTTTGATTGCATCGGCTTCAAGGGACCAAAACCTATACTCCGTTTAGAATTACTTTTCGTTTTTAATGATTTATTGTTGGATATTCAGTTTTACCTATATGGTTGTACACTAAATTTTCTTATATGTATTATAATAGCTGGCTTACGCCCGGCGTTGCCCGTGACAATTTTTCATTCTTTTTACATTTATTTCCGATTTGCTTTGCCGTACAAGCAAATTGAACGAAAAAGAATAGGTTAAAAGTGGGTGACTACAGTTAAAAGTGTTCTAGTGTGTCATACATTTTTTTCATCCGTGTTACCATAGATACCCGCATAGTACAGGGTTAAACTATATATCTACTATAATAATGCTATTATAAGGACATAATAGTACTGCAGTGTTGTTACTGTACTAAAAAATACAAAGCCTCAAAGATGCCGTTTTACGTATTTTCACTTTTCACTTACCATAGTTTTTTGTTTTTTTTTCATCCATGTCACTAAGGTAGCCCATATTATTTCAAGCCTATAATATACTGACAGTTAATCTGATAGACTTTTTATTTTAATTTGTTATAGTTGTTATGATGTTTTTATTTATGTTTATTATTGTCATTTTATTTTTTTTTTCATTTAATTCGTGTTACTAAAGTAATCCATAATTCAAAAAATAATTGAATTTTTGTATTAAAATTACATAAAAACCTTTCATTCTTTTCGAGTTTTATTTTCATGATAAAACGTAGCCATGTTTTTTCTCCGGG